TTACCAAGAACAAGTTGTATTTTTCTGTAGAGGTATGAAAGTCAGCTTGATCTTTAATTACATACATTTAGTTGAAACCTCATATTGGACATAAAGGAATTCAGATACTGTAGACATTGTAATGAAAAGAGTAAGTTTTAATTTTCTTTAAACCATTTAAGCTAAATTGATGTCTTATCTTTTTCTGTCTTGTTTTAAGAGATGAATACACTGCCTTATATTACACCTAGCCCAAACTGGCCAAAATTAGTTTAACATTAGGTAAGTGGCTTGATGTCCAGTTAATCTATACTAGTCCAAGCATTTCTTCTCTCTTCTCTAGAAAGCCACTAGAGAATAAACAAAGTAATTTCCAGATCATATCACAGACATTGCTAAATTGCTTTGATCATCTTCAGTAGACTGACTAGTTAACTTGGAATTAATATGATGTTACTTCTTAAGTTTTAGCTAGAGTGGGCTATGTGTAATATAAGTCAGAAGATCCAATCAAAATACATGAAGTATAGTCATCTGTCAGTAGTTGTTTAACAGCAGATTTCAACTTCCCCTGAAGACCACATCTACCATTCTTTCTCTAATATCCTTGATACTTGAGGACAGTCTCTTTACCTATGTTTTGTATCAGGGCATCCTAGACTTTGCTTTGCCTTTTCTTATACTTCCTCTTTCCTGTGCATATAAAGTACTTAGCACACTGTTACTTTTAGTAAGCACTAATGTATTTATCTTTTCTCATGCTGTCTTCCATGAACATAAGCAAATCTGCCACAGTAGAAAAGAAACCATCAGCTTCCTCCAAGTACCATTTTGTTTGGGTTGTTTGTTTTGTTTTGTCTTTACACCCTTAGATATCCAAACTTCTTCCAAAACTGTCATTGCTGCCCATTCACAATTTAAGGAAATCCTTATATTTCTAGGGAGAATCATTCACATGTTATCTATGAAAGACTTCTTCTGGCTTCACTGAATTTGTACAACAGTTACAGTCATATCATAAATATATTGATAATCCACAGCTTTGTGTGAAGTCCTTTCATTCCATAGTAAGTGCTCCAAATCAGGAGAGAAGTTCAGTGCTGATCCTTTCCCCTTACTTCAAATTGGCACAAATGTGCCGTTCTGTATTAAGGCCTATAAGATCCTTTTAATTTCTGTTTTTCCTCAGTATCATACATGACATCACAACAGAGTGAACCTAATAATCGTTCTCTTTCCATCCTCTCAACCTTCAACCTAAAAGTAGCCATTCCCTGTATTTCCTATTTCAGGTACCATTTCAGTCTTCCTGATTTCTTCCTTCACCATCACTTTCCCATCTAATTACCATATCTCACATATACTTCCTCCTAAATAAGTTTTCTAATGCTTTGCTGTTAATGCCTTATTACATTCTGAAAATTTTCTAGTGACACAAAGAATTTCTTTATATATAGGTTTTATCAGTTTATCTCTCTATAAATTAAAATAAAAATTTAAATATTCATAAGTAATACTGAACAATTGTATTTTGACATAAATAATATGTTTATAAAAATTGACTATTTTAAAAAAAAAACCTTCACTGGAAATAGCATTAAGATACCTGTAAAACTTTCAACATCTGGTTACATAGCCAACATCATGTACTGCTGTATGTCATTTACTGTGATACATTATTTGGATGAAGTACATGAAGGAAATTGAGCTTCATAAAGACATGTAGTTGGAAAGGGGAAGAGATTTTCAGATTAATCAAAGATTTGACTAATGGAGTAAATTTGAAATTGATTGCAGTGTGGAAATCAGAAGTATACCAGTGCACTTTTATACTCAAATTATAATCTTGTATATGTAACTTTTGCATGTTGGTCACTTGAAAAATATTGATTTACTAAGTTTTACAAACCTTCAAAATATTGATGTCTCATTTTATAACTTTTTTTTTTTTTTTTTTTTTTTGGTCTTTTTGAGACAGGGTCTCCCTGTAGCCCCAGCTGTCCTGGAACTCACTATGTAGACCAGGCTGGCCTTGAACTCACAGAGATCCATCTGCCTCTGCCTGAGATTAAAGGCGTGCACCACCACACCCGGCCTCATTTTACAACTTTTTAAAAGACTCATTTTTCAAAATCACCGATTTTTATGAGAAAAGTCTGAAATTATCAGCTTCATGATTGGAAAGTCAGCATTAATAAAGATTTTACTTGAAAGTTCAAACTTTGTCACCTACAATACACACTTTCACTTGTTTTCCTTGGAATGGTAGACTTCTTTTATCCATTTCTTAGAAAATATACAGAGGATTGCCAAGTCTCATTAAAAGACTCTTTTGCATACAAGAGAAAACACTGCTATGGAAATGGTGACTGGTTACACGTGAATTCAGGTTGTGCTCAGACAGCGTGGTACTTCAGTATGGAGCAGATGTGCTTTTGGCAAACTAGAAGTTTGCTAGACATTTTTTTAAGTATGGTTAAATACCAAGATATAATAAAATCAATACTGACTTTTTGAAGATGATGTTCTTAGGTGAAACTTTGTTCTCACCATGAGTGATACAGGCCGTGATGAGCTGCTGCTTTCCTTCATGTCAGTGTGCCAGTGGTTTCACCTACCATTGCTTTGTAGTTTCTGTACATGTGCCCACCCAGACAACTGTCAGATAACATTGAAATCATGCCTCAGGATTCTGAGAGTAATTTTAACTTCACAGATACCACAAAAGGTCTTGGAGAGTCCCCATGGGCTATACCTCGAGAACTACGTCCTGAATAACAAACACACATTGCCCTTGCTCACTCTACTTTTTTAATTTTACCTTTTATTGAATCCCAGCTTTCTCATTTTTTTCCCTAACCTAGCCCCCATTCCCTACTGTATTTTTCTTTCTGTAGCAAATTATAGTGAAATGCAAATCTGATACTATTGATGCCCCCTTTTAAAATCTGTAACATGACCTAGAAATTCAGATTCCTTCATCAAACATGCAAGGCTGTTTATAGTACCTGTTTCACTACCCTCTATTCTTAGCACTATATACCTCCTACTTTTAGCAGGGTTCACTTACTATTAATGTCCTAAACACACCCTTTTTGCAGTGATGTTTTTATATACGCTGTTTTTGGAATACTCCTAATTCCTACATACACCTCTTAACTGCCCATCATTTTTCAAGTCACCTCATGTCACACCTACAAAATTTTATATTAAAATTTATTAAAGCACTTATTGTTTTACAGTTATTTTGTTGTGTCATTTCTTCCGATTACTGAAAGCTGCTTAAAATCAGGAATTATATCTCCTTATCTTCTCATACTTAATAAAAACAAAGCGTGTAGTAATAATTTAATGTTTGAGTAAATAATTATAGAAATTACAGTCAAAATACAAATTAACTTCATGATATTCCATGCTTTTTCTAATATCTGTGGGTACAGTTGCTAATCACTAGTCAAAGCTCTGAATGGGCAGAAAGTTGTGTGTGTGTGTGTGTGTGTGTGTGTGTGTGTGTGTGTGTGTGTGAGCTTCTTAAATGAAATAGTGTATCTTTATTTCCATAATTTTTACTGTAAGTAAAATAGAGGGAACATTTTGGGTTATATGTGTGTTCCTGAAAAGTTTGAACTCAAATCTGGTTTTCAAACACAAAAATCCTTAATTATCATAATTCAAATTCTAATTGCTTTAGGTTTTTCCCCTAGTCAAAAATCTTAATGTGTCTGTTACCAAAATGCAAAATATTTCTCTACCTCTGTTAATATTTGAAAACTGTAGCTAAAAATATTAGGAGTATTAAAACTTTTAAAATGTCTTCTACCTTGTTTTCTATTAATATTTAGTTGATTGTATTTTGTGTTTTAACTTAGTACAGTAAAACAGTATCTTGTGAAAGGGCTTCTGCAAGAAAGGAACCTAAATGGAAATCCTTCTTAAGTAATGCATCGGTATGTGATTTTCATTAGCAAAAAGAAGCTCTTCACAAAGAAAGTTGAATTTTTCTTATATTTAACAAATGTCATTGCTTTTAAGTAGATTTTGTAAATTTTCCTTCCCATTGACCATTTCATTCTTCATAAACACCCAAGTAGAGGAAATTGACTAATATTTGAAAACCAAACACTTTGGGCCTCACTGATTAAGAACTTACTATAGCTGAGTTAGTACAGCTTAGTAGCAGCCCTTGAGCTAGATGTTAACTAGTAAATTAAAATTGTTTTCAAAACTCAGGCCTTGTGGTGGCTCTCGCAGAGGCCAGCAGATTCTTTGAGTTCCAGGCCAGCTGGGACTACAGGGAAGGCCCTGTCTCAAAAGAGCAAAAAAAAAATTGTTTTCAAAACTCAAGGAAAATTGAATCTTTCATAGACCTCTAAGTACTCATTTCAGTGTAATAGATTATTGGTTATATATCTGCCTTTAAAGTTTATTTACTATATAAAAGCCAGTGGTGATGGAGATCCCTCCCTCAAAAGATTCTGAATTAATGAGGCATGTATGTTTTAGTCGTATTTATGCTCTTCAGTTTTTCCAGAGGTAATTTTAGATAAATATTTTTTCTTGGGGCTATGTTTGGAATTCTCCTTTGCTGTCCTGTCCCTGTTGACTTCAAGTTCTATGACTAGGTAACATTCTCTGAGCTCTGTGTCAGTGTTGTATATCATTAGAATGTCATGGTGCCTACTGAGAAAATGAAATAGCTTCACTCCATTAACTTAAAGAAAGTGATTGTAAAGTGTTAATAATTGTTACCCTGAAAAATGGATGTATTGAGCCAGTACATTGATAGCAAGTTCTATAATTACATAAATTTTATTTGAAAAACTTCCCCTTTTGTACTGTTATATTTTCAAAGGAAAAATACAATGAAAATTTAAAACCAAAGGATTTATTATTTTATCATAAAATCTGTTTTCCAGCATTCATTTACTACAAACATTGTCATCTGTTTCTTCTTTTCTTTATTTCATAATTAATTTCAGAATTCATCTTTTATCTAATTTGACATTTTCATATTTTTAAAGGTCCCCAGGTGCATCCAATTTTTCAACTTTACCAAAGATCTCTCCATCTCTATCAAATAATTATAACAACATCAACAACAGAAAGTAAGCACTGAATCTTAAAAACTCTTTGTTTAACTGGTGGCCCTAATATGGTTGCAAAAAGATCTCTTGTATCTAAAATTTAGAATAAAAATCTTCATACATCAAAATTTGTTTTCTTTGAAATTACTCGTCCGTTCTCCTGGGAGTTCCTTCACAAGAGATGAAGCACAGTTTTTTAATTACTTGATATAAGTCAGGTACTGGAATAGTTGACTGGGGGGAGCACTTTCAGATTTTAGATTCTAAATATTAATTATTGAAATTTATATAGGACTTTGTTACAACTCAAGTTTATAGGGCAAATGTAAATTTCAGGTATCATTTTGGTCTAGATAATCACCTATTATGAAGCATGTATCGATGATTCTTAACTGGAACTCACAAATTTTTATGTTTAGGAAAAAGCGTTTACAGAAAAGCAATTTATTTTCCCCATGATAAGTAAATTTGAGAGTTAGGTGGTTATGAAAATATGTGCTACACTACTATAAAAACAGGTTGAGGGGCTAGATAAATGGCTCAGTGGTTAAGAGTACTGACTGCTCTTGCAGAGGACCCAGGTTTGATTCCCAGCACCCACATAGTGGCTATGAAACGATCCTTAACACCAGTTCCAGAGGAATCCGAAGCCCTCTTCTGACCTCTGCAGCTTTGCACGACAAGGGTGCACTCACATGCATGCAGGCAATACACTCATACACATAAAATAAAAATAAAATATTTTTAAAGAAAACAGTTTGAAACTCATTTTCCTCTAACATGCGACTTTAGGCATGCTGCCTTGGAAATTGGCATTTTTATCTTATTTATAAAAGTATAAAGAAAGCCTTTTTTATTTGTAATTTGTCCAACCAATTTGTGAGAACTTTGATTCTAATATGATTATCCATCTTTTATTATTGGGTTTGTACCCTGTGATTATGCATCATTTTAACAGTTCAGGTGGCTTACCCAATTGTCCACTTCACAAAAAGCATCTGATTATTCTAGTTTATAAATTCAAAAACACTAAAGCAGTTTGTGAAACAATCACAAAGCAGCAATTACATTTAGAAGTTTAATTTCCCATTAAAATTCTTGTTTGTGGGAACTTAACAAAAGTCTGGATTATAGATGTTAATAGCTAACAAAATTTTAAAGGAAAAAGTAATGAGAAAGGATTAATTCTATAACTATAAGGCTAAAAAATTTAAACAGCACAGTTTTGTCCAAGAATACACCTACAGTTCAATGGAATCAGAAAGCCCCAAAATATCTTTGTATGTAAAGGAATTTATCAGAAAGCTTTCTAAACAATAGAAAATGCAGATTATCCAAAAAGTATCACCAAAAAACATTGGGTAACTGTCTCTATAGTTTCTCTTTAGAACTTTCAATCCAAAATAATCTCAAAAAAAAAAAAAAAAAAGACAATTGAAAAACTTATTGCAAAGTCTGTTTTTAAAAGTATTCACAGCGAGTATGAAAGGAGGGGTTTTCTGAAACAAAATTAGACAAATAATATAACTGAGTAATATAGGAATTAAATACAAATATTTTATCTTCAAATTCATCACTAGAGTTTTGTAGATTAAAACCAGAAAAAAAAAAATTCCTTCCAATGTTGGCAACTGCTGCTAGATGAAGAAGAGCTGATCTTCCTAAAATAAGGAACTCTACATAGGTTAACTAGACTCAGTGGATGGACTAGCACTGAGGGAACAGCTGGGGGTACTGATAATACAATGGACAGTAACAAGGATGACAGAGTATATGGGCTCCAGTGTGTGTGGGAGGCTATGTGAGGGTACCATTGGGGATGTGGATATAAAGATGAATAAGATTGTTTGGGATATTCTATGTAAAATACACACAAAAATAAATAAATTAATTAATTAATTAATTAATTAAATGAGTTATATTTGTGGAAGAAGCATAAAAATTTGCTTCTTCTTAATTAGTAGAGGTAAAAAAAATTACCATTGAAATCTACCTGATGACTTTTTTTTAAATTCCTTCCACTTTACTCTAGTTCAGGCTCATTGGGAAAAATTAAACTGGATTTATAAGGATTTCCTCTGAGTAACTGGAATATTGACACACTGTTTTAGTAGTTTCCCAATATAAACCAAGCAAATTTTATTTCAGTAGTTCATAAATTATATGCTCTTTGTTTATTAGCATCACACTATAGTGTGATAGTGAAACATGGAAAACGTGTCTATCTAGATGGTACAGTTTTTTCTTTTTTTGTTTAAATGTATATCTGCAGGCAGAGTTTGCTGTAAAAGAAATATTCTATGACCCCATTTGTGTTTTATGTATTTTTAATTCATTAAAATTAATATTAGTAGGATATAAAACTGCTTGTGTTCCTGCTAATTGTAGATTGCGCCCACGTTTACTATGAAATAATTAAATGTATGCTATGGCATTACAGTCATTCTTTGGAGAGATTTTTTTTAACACTGTATCTAAATGGTATTGAATATTGACTATTTTGACTGGAGTCACCATGTTGGTATATGTGGTGTCTTGTGATTCAGTTTTTTTCTTATTTCCTCGATTCACATAGCAAAAGTATCATAGTACAATCTAATCTCAGAGCTTCTGAATGAGGAATTGTAGATCATATTATGAAATTACAGTAGTTACTACCTACATTCTGTGATCATTTTGAGCTTAAACTTAAGTTTTATGTCTAACTTACCTGTTTACATAATGAACAGAACTTAAACATTCATAAAATGCAAGCAATTTTTGTTCCTACTTTAAAAATTAAGTTAATGATTTAAGCAGTTAATTTACAGGAAATTTATTTCTTGAATTTTCATTCTGCTTGTAGCGATAAATAGCTGCCAAGGCTCAGATGGAAAGAGCAATTTCATAAAAGTAGGTTAGCTAACCAGGCAGTGCCCTTCTTAGATAAAAGTACATATTAAGACCTGTAGTTGTTCTGCAAATTTAGATTATACAGTAAGATTAATAGATACACAAGTTTCTATGAAACATACTTACAAATCAAAACTAAAATTATCCTACACTAACATTACTAAAAGGTAAAGTTTTCATCTCCAGAAATAATATCTTTATAAGTGCAATAAAATACAATTATTTCATTTAAGTTTAATAAAGCTTTTTAGTTAAAAACAGCATCACAAAGTTCATTTTTAGAGTACAGTTTGTTTTCCTTCTATAATAATTTTACCTCTTAGTTCATAGAATATTTTTGCTTCTATTATAATTTAAATATTTTTAGGAGTGCCAGTTTTTTCACTGTGCTTTTGTCTTGCTGTGTTTAGTTGATATGTTACTAGCATTGCCATTAAAAATTATTTTTTAACTTTTAAAAAAAGTTTTTATTTTATGTATATGCGTGTATTGCCTGAAAGTAGGTAAGTGCACCCATGTCGTGCAATGCCCGTGGAGGTCAGAAGAGGCTGTTGGATCCCCTGGGACTGGAGTTACAGACAGTTGTTAGCTGCCATGTGGGTGCTGGGATTCGAACACGGGTCTTCAGCAAGAACAACCAGTGTTCTTAACCGCTAAGCCATCTCTCCAGCCCCTAAAAATTAATGAATCTGTTTGCATCCCGTAACAAAGCCCATTTCTCATCAGTTCATTTGAATCTCTTTTGAAATGGAAATGATGCCCTGTGTAAGATTAAGTCATAGCAGGAACTGTGGATTTTGTAGACTATCAGAATTAGCCATTCTTGATATTAACTGAACACATTTTTAGTAACTACAAAGTAAGCGTGATTCAATATATGTTCATGATGTCAAATGTCAAATACTAGTTGAAAACTTAATCTGAAACTTTTATGAAAAAATCAAAAATACGATTCTACTCAAAATTCCATTTTATGTATCTTCCTTAAAGAGGATTTACGGCACAGAACTAACCTAGCATAATATTAAACTCCTATTACTACTTGTATAAATTTATTTTTTATGAATAGTATACTCTTCAAAGATGGTGACTAGTTTTTGATCATTATGAAAAAAGATAAAAGAGACTTCTTTAGGGCGTAGGAAACCTTTTCAAATTTCCACATTTTGTCAAAGTGTATAAACAACTGCTAGGTTTTGTACTTTCCACAACAAGCTTCAATGTGTGATTAAAATACATAGCATGTGGTTTATAAATGAAGATAACTATTTAAAGTATTGGAATTTATTTGCTTTCATTATCATTGAGCATCTTGACTGTCCTAATCTCTGGGTAAACATTACAGTGATCCCTATCAGTTAAACCAGAATACCTTTAAAGATTGTTTTTTAAAACAAAACCAGAAAATTGCTTTGCAAATAAGGTTTGTTTTTCACATCCCATCAATTAAAAATTCTTTCCCATCAAACTTCTTTATATGTTGCTACAAAACTCCCAGTATCTATCTGTGTTACATGTAGGGTGTGACAGGTACCTAATTATATACTTTTAGAATGAGTATGTAAATGCAGTTATAATCATCCTCCCTCCCCCACCTGTCTCTGTGTGTGTGTGTGTGTGTGTGTGCGCGCGCGCGTGTGAACATGCGTGCATGAGCATGTACTTGCTCCTTTGCTATAGCTATTTCACAGCTAGGATATGTCTGTTTTTTCATCTGCCATGTATAGAATGTACAAAAAAATGCAGGCCTTTAAAAAATAAGTAGAAGCTCCTGATTAGCATTACTAAAAGTAATAAAAGAATGGCAAGGGTTTTTGTTAATTTTAGCTTTAAGTACTCAAACTGAGATTTATTTAATTCTGAGTGATGATACATTGAGTTGCCAGTAGATACTTGGTACTTTTGGGCTATAAAATAAAATAAAATAAAATAAAATAAAAAAGTAATAAAGCTGATAATTAAGAAGAAGCTTGAGTTCTATTTTTCTGCTTTATACATTTTTTAAGTTTAAAGCAAATATTACAAGTCTAGCAGTTAGTAATTTGATTTGATCGAGGTTTCATTTCTTTGAGCCCTGATATTTTCATTTAATCTTAGAATGGATTCTTTTTTTGAAAGTCAGGGAGTTGGCCTTTTCTGTTTGTGAAGGAGGGAATATATTTGAAAACTGCAAGAACATTAGGGAACTAATTTTGTTACGTGAGAACATGGGCTCCATTTTGCAGCTTAGCAGTCTCATTGACAAAAAAGTGTTTTAAGAGGCTCAAAGGAACCTGAAGGACAGTATTATTGGAGTGCATTGGAGTTTGAGAGAAAAACAACAGGACAACCAAGCTTGAAGTCTCACCATCAGCTGGAAGAAGTGAACTGGTTAGGTACAAGACAGAAAGCCACATTCTTTTTGGCATAGAGAGATGTCTGCAAGCAGATGTATGGGTTGTGGAACCTGTAGAAAAGAATGAGACTGCCCAGAATGTAGGACAGGCATGCTCAGAGTGTAGGCCAATATCAGAAGAGAGAATAGGAGAAGTTCTGCCTTTTAAGTTAGAAGTCAGAAAAGTAGACAGGCTTAGTGAAGATCTATAATCAAGTGCATCAAAGGCAGGGCTTTGGAGATCTGTAAGGGTATACCCCATTAAGAAAGTAGTTATTCCTCCTGACCTAACATTTCTTGGGGTGTATTAGCTTTCTTGAGTGATAGTCTTCCTGAGCAGGTGATTGGCAGGCCTTTTTTGGCACTTTTCTTTTTGAGACAGGATGTCACTATGTAGCCCAACTGGCCAACCTATAGACTAGGTAGCCTCAACCTCACAAAGATTCCTTTGCCTCCTAAGTGCTGGGATTAAAGGGCCAGTAATATATTTTTTTAATCTTATAATTTTGGGGGCAGTTTAGAATGCCATATCTCCACTCAGGACCAGAGATAGAACTCAGATTTTATTCTGTTGAGCAAAATTCATGTAATGAAGTAAAGGAAGAAAAAAAAAAATATATAT